GGACGCACCGAGCCATGTGTGCTTTTGACGTTGAACGAATCGCCATCGCACCGAGTCAGTGGTCGCATCTGGCTGTGGGGGGACTGATCTGCCGGACCCTTGACACCCGGAAAAGGCTAGACCAACAGATGTTAAGTGACCGTAAATAGGACCCGTCACCAGGGGTACCTGTAGGATAGTCTATAGGGTTCTTCAACCTCTGCTGGTACCAACCCAAAACATCCAAAAACTCTGCAGACGTGAGGAGACGCATTTTTTGTGGGTGCCTTGGTTGGCATTCGGAGCATGGTCTTCCACCACGGGTCTTCCTTCTCAGAGTACTTTAAGAATATTTGTACCCAGCATAAGACCCAAGTCTTCAGGATCCAACGGTCAGCTGAGTCAGCTGGGCTTCTGGCACAGAACAGGGATAGGTTCTCTGGGTCGATGGGGCCTCTCCCTTCCCCAAATGAGCTGCACCAAGGGGACCTTATATAATTCAACCAGGTCATCGCTGGTTTTTCGGGGGGCCCTAGATATGGTTGTTGGAGGTCCCCGCCCTTGACGAAACAAGCAGCGAGGACGACCACCCTTGACGAAACGGTTGCTGCCGGCGGGTTGCTGCCAAAGGGCCAGAAGGGAGTCTCCCTTTTTTTCCAACTGAAACCTATCTCGGGAATTCAACTCACTTGAAACACATACGTATATATTGTATAAGTATATATATATATATCTTATAAGTATATAATAAGTATATATGTATGTTAGTCTAGTCTAGTCAGTGGGATCCATCATGTCAAGTTAAAGCTTGAACATCAAAATGGTAACCACCACCCAGGATGGGAGGAGTCTCTATCTCTCCATTTGTCCACCGCCCAGATCTTTTACACCCGAAAACTCACATGGATCCGGGTGACATGGGCGAGTCTGACCAGGGTCCATGTGAGTTTTACAGCGAGGTTAATAAGGGGTGTGGTACCAGTATGTTTAGTACTAGCAGAGGTTCGGTTTTGAGACGCCCCTTCAGACGGTCCGCAAGTCGTGCCGACCCCAAGCAGTTTTGAGTCTATTTGAGTCTGTGAAAATGCACTGGACGCCCACGCTCGACTCAAGGCAAGCACTTAGGAGCCAGAGACTCGATGGGGGCTTTGTGTCCACCGGAAAAAGAGTCTTGTTCTTGCTTGTTGGGTCTGTTGCGGTTCCCCCAATTTCATAGTGGTAGCGGAGCCCGGTTCCGACCGGGCTGGTTTGGGTTCGACTCTTTTTCTTGGTGGTCACCAGCCCCCATCCCGTCTAGGTTTTTGAATGGCCGATAGACAGGCCATTCCACCTTCGGATGGCGACTTGGATGAACCGCCAGGCGGCGGCTCGCCAGCTGCTGGCTCCACGGGGGCTCAGGGCGCGCAGGACGTTTTAGGGAGTGACCGGGAAGCCTTCGCTCGGTTCCAACGCTTTCTCCAGATGGAGAGAGAAGAAGGCCGCGGTCCGACACGTCATAGGCGCCGTCGTGAGCGAGAAGAAGAAGAAGGTGATGATAGTGGAGAAGGAAGAGGGGCTTCCGCGGACCTCCACCATCATGGGATGGACAGACCCCATTCGAGGACTATCACATCAAGGCCCAACTATGGATCGCGACGACCAAGGACAAGGCCAAGTCGCGAGGGCCTCTCTTGTTGAAGATGTTGACAGGAGCACCCTTCGAGCTTTACAAGCACTGGGCAAAAGATCCTGTTTGGCTCGGAGATCCACGAGGTGCTGAACGTCTTCTTGAAGACATGGATAAGCCTGAACGCTTCGGAGATGACCAGCAGGAGCACATGCTGACGGCCATGTCCCGCATCACCTACCACCTCCGGAGGCAGAAGACAGAGTCCTGGAGGGAGTACTTCGCCAAGTGGGACAACGCCATTCGGAAAGTTCAACAACACAAGATCGTGCTTCCACCCGAGTATGAAGGCTTCTTGATGATCAACGGGCTGCAGCTGACCGAGAGCGATACCAAGGCCTTGTTGAATTACACCCACGGCTGCATCAAGCCCAGTTCCATCAAGAGCTGGTTGAGAAAGAATGAAACAAAGTTGTCTGCCTCAGAGCTTGGGGCCGACCGGAAGAAGGCAGCCGGCGCCTTCCATACTGAGTATGACGGAGTCTATGCCACCGAGGAGGTCATTGAAGGTAATGGCACCGACCAGGAGGAGATCGACAACATCGAGCACTACATCATGGAGCTCCAGGACGAAGGACCTTCCGAAGACACCGCCCTGAGCGAATCCGAGGCGGCAGAGATCCTCTCCACCTACCTTCAGCAGAAGAAGACCTATACACAGTCGATCAAGGACAAGAAAACCAAGGAACTCGCCCGAGGCTATGGAGCTGGTCGACGACCAAACTTCAGCTTGAATCGGGGAGATCGAGATCGACCTCTACGACCTGGATCCTACTCCGTAACGATTGCCGAGCTGCAGAAGAGGACCCGCTGCCGACAATGTGGTCAGATCGGCCACTGGAAACGGGATTGCAAGAACCCTCCCATGAAACCAGGCAGCTCCTCATCGATGAGCGCGTCTCGAACAAACGAGACACACCTTTTGGAAAGCACACCCGAGGTGCATTTTGTGGGCAGTCTGGAGAAGGAAGAGTTCATCGACAAGAATCTCTCCAGCCATGGACCAACCAGCTCCTCGCCTTTTGAGATGACAGGGACAAGAACACCTGAGCCGCTCATCCTGAGGACTTCAATCGAAGGCCAGCCGGACTGTACAGATGTAGTCCCCGCCTCGAATCACGGCCTGACCGCTCGGTCATATACGGAGAGTGACACGGTTTTGGGTTTGGGAATGGGTGAGATTGGTCATGTTGGTGTGGATAGCTTGTTTTTCTATGAAAACATGTTTTGCGATCTGGTATCCCAGTACTCCCAGTCAACCCCAGATGACGCTACCTGCGCCACAGTCGACACTGGATGCCAGAGACTGGCAATTGGAGCCACGACCCTGAGGAAGTTCAGTGACCATCTACCACAGGGCCTGAAGATCACCACTCACCCCGAGACCAACAAGTTCAGGAGCGTTCACAAAACATCGATTACCACCCGGGTAGCCAATGTACCCAGCTCACTGGGAGCGAAAGGCAGTCTCCTGAAACCAGCGGTCTTCGACAGCGACGAGAGCACCCACGCACCGTTCCTCTTGTCCCTCAGCTTCCTCCTCCATTGTCATGGTGACATAGGGTTGTGTCTTGAGAAAGGCCTCCAACTTCGACTTCGTGGAAACCACGAACCAGTCCCCTTACATCTTGGACCAACCGGAGCACTTCGAATTCCACTTCAACAGTTTACGGAACTCCAACTGACCGCACTCCAAAGAGCCCAGTCAGAAGATTTAGGAACTTCGCTTCCGGAATTCGAGGTCCTGAAATTGAACGAACAGTGCATGAAACCGCCGGAGCCTGACAGAACTCAAGACGTTTCAGCATCGACCTCACCCGTTTCCTCCGCCTGCCATGCAGAACACCGGCCAGAAGCGCAGCCGACATGCTCCACCGGAGACTTCGAACCCGGAGGACAAGGCCGTGAAAGCCTGGACTCAACTGACCCGTCGGCTACTGGTCGTGCTTATGCCCCTTCAGTACCTGTTCGAACACCTCTTGGAGACCATCATGGGAGCACAATCCCAACGCCGGGTTCTAGCGCGTCTGATCGAGAACATGTCCGACGAGGAGCTCCACCACGTGACCAAGATGGCCAAGGACGAGATGAATCGTCGCGGCGAACTATCGGACACCTTCATCGTGATCAGCGACCCGGAACAACGCTCGGACGGATCCCAGAGGAAGGTTCAGAAGGAGACTTTGGTGAGAACTCAGCGCTGCGACCAGATCGACAGCCTGCCGGGGATCGAGATGCTGACTGGACCCCGACCTCGTTGCCGATGCGGCCTACAGGTGAAGATTCATCTGAGCACCGAGGTCAACCACGAGGAGGAGATCTACTTCCGATGCCCGAAGTACCCAGGACAACAGTGCGAATTCAAACAATGGACCCCTTGCCAGCCATTGAAAGATGTGACCAGCTGGAAGTACCGCCAGCAGCCAGGCGAAAAGCCCAAGTCCTATGCCGAGGTGCTGGAGGGGATGGTTCAGGAAATTTGCCCGCACTCAGCCACGCATCGAAAGGGATCCAATGCCTTCCTGACCAAGGTGACCTGCCGCTACTGCAACAAGGTGATCAGACAGGAAAAGAAAGCGGTTGTCACGGAGACGGTGTCTCCCAGCAGCCCATCAGAGACACTTCCTCGTCCTTCAACTCCGACGCCAACATCACCTCAGGAAGGGATGACCGAACCAGAGGACTACCAGGACTTCATGGACTTCCTGCGCTGGCGCCGAATGAAGGGCCCTTCAAGCCAGTGACCCCAAAGCTTGAAAGAAAGCTCAGGGCAGCCTTGAAGAAGGCTGTGGCTTTTTGGAAACAGATCCAGTACATTCTCGCAGAAACGCATGATGGAGATGCGACACTGCGAGACTGGATTCGGAGCTTTAATCATGACCTTTGCAAGGAGTTCACCCTGCACCCTAATGGATCGAAAAGAACACATCAGATTGCTGAAATCATGGGACTCTCTCATAAACAACTCAGAACGGTTGCTGAAATCTATAATCCTGGTTGTTTTGGTGAAATTGCCCATCGCTTCAATCTCAATCCTGGCCGTGCTTTTGATTTGAAGTTGGATTGTGATTTGTTGAAGGCAAACAAACGAAACGAAGTCTTGCAGTATGTGAAAGATGTTAGGCCTGGACTCGTTTGCAACGCACCACCATGTGAAATGTACTCACAGCTGCAAAACCTCTCCAAAAACAAACGAGAACGCGTTCCTGCTCTTCTTCAAAAGTATCTAAAGAGAAAGTCGGAAGGGGAGCAACTTTTGCTGTTTGCACTGCAGTTGTGCGAATTATGCGATAATTTGGGCATCAAGTTCCTCTTGGAACATCCCCACGCTGCATCCTCCTGGAAACACCGTGCCATGGAGCAGCTTCTTTCCAAACCGAACGTAGTGTACACGAAGGCAGACCAATGCCAATATGGACTCCGTGGAGAATCTGGCCAACCCCAAAGAAAACGGACTGGCTTTGCCACCAACAGCCCGGAGATCGCCAAGGCTCTAGACGCCCTATGCCCTGGCGACCATCAACACGAAGTCATCATTGGTGGCACCAAGTCCAAGAAAGCACAAATCTATCCGGAAGGTCTTCGGGAAGCCATTTTGGCTGCCTACGCAAGATCGATTGGAGCTGAGGTTTATACCATCACCTCCGAACAGATGTTCCTGGAGAATGATCGCCTGAACTCATTGTTGGCAGTAGAACTGATGGTCGATTCTGAACTCCATCCAGGACATTCACCGGATAAAGACCAGGAAACTACGCTACAGGCTGAACAAGTACCGGGACATGAACTTCATCTAAGCGAAGTCGATCCGGAACGACCCGACCAAGTCGAAAGTGTTCTACCTGGCCCAACCTGGGAACTACATGCTGAAGAACTTCAAGGTGACGGTGACCAAGGAGAACTTGAACCGGAAAGCGATGAACGAACAAATGCTCCACTCCCTCTCGAACGTCGCTTCACCATGGACCGACTTCTACATCGAGCACATGTTGGAATGGGACATCCAAGCCCAGATCGGTTTGTACGCATACTTAGATATGCCAAGGCAAAACCGGAAGTCATTGAAGCAGCAAAACGGCTGAAATGCAGTGTCTGTCAACGACATGCCCAAGTTCGACCCGCACGACGAAGTGCTCCACCCAAGGAGCTCAGCTTCAACGAATGTGTCGGAGTGGATGTGGTCTTCTTGCCAACCTTGGGCAATCGCTCCAGACCAGCACTTAATGTGATAGACTGGTCAAGCAAATTCCAACTCATGATCCCCTTGCCTAACAAGAAACCAGGACAAGTTCGAGAAGCCTATAGGCACTGGTTGAGACTATTTGGGCCTCCAAAAAGAATGGCATTAGACTTGGGACGTGAGTTTCGTGGTACCTTCGCCGAACAGGTTGAGCAGGATGGGACCTACATCGACCCAGCTGCTGTGGAAGCACCTCATCAAAGAGGCATCACCCATGTCAACGTGTCTTGGGATTCAACCCCTTCCTACCAGGAGGACTCTTAAATGGAGATGACGGACATCGACATCGAGAAGACGCTCCAGTGCCGAAGATCGGCGACCTCAGCATTGAAAGATCCATGAAGCTTCGGAAGGCTGCAGCTCAAGCTTTCATCGAAGCCGATGCAGACAACGCCTTGCGGAGAGCTATTTCATCAGGACCAAGACCGATCCTGGACTACGACATCGGTGAGATTGTCTACTTCTATCGAATGGGAGCGGATAAAAAGCTCAAGTTCAAACCAGGCTACTGGCAGGGACCAGCTCGCATCATCATGATCGACCAGCCCAGCACTATTTGGCTAGCGTACCAGTCAAACCTGGTCAAGGCGAGTCCGGAGCGTCTTCGGAGAGCATCATCTGAAGAGAACATGGCTCTCTCGGGATGGCTTGACGACATTGTCAATGTCAAAAAGGATCTCAACACTGAACCAGTTCGAGGCTTCCTAGATCTATCCGATCAGCCTCTACCTCCTGACCTAGCAGATGGGGATCTAGATGACATGGACTACGAGCCATCCGAACCTCCTGAAGATGAACCGAGTGCACCTCCGATAGCTCCAATCTTAGACGGGCTTCAAGAACCTCTGGGATACCCTCCGCCAGCAAAAAGATACCGAACAAAGGCACCACAAGAGAACCTTCATCAACCACCAGAAGCAGAAGATCTACAAGAACCAGATCATGACGAACGACCTGCTGAAGAGGTACCAGAAGAACGACCAGAAGAACACCCCGACGTGGACGAGAACAACAAAAGAGAATATGATGAAGGGGAAGCCCAAGAACAACCGCCATTAAAAAGATTGAGACATGAATACCTGGAGATCTACCTGAACAAGGTTGACAACCTGATGAAAACAAGACAGAGAAAGGAAGTTCGCTTTCAGGAACTGAGCTTCAAGAACCAAAAATGTTTCAAGGCGGCAATCGGCAAAGAATTCAACAACAACATCAACATTGGCGCCTACTCCATTGTCTCCCCAGAAGAGTCAGCAAAGGTTCGACAAACCATGCCACACCGAATCATGGAAAGTCGATTGGTACTGACTCCAAAACCATTGGAACCTCACGAAGTAGAACCAGCCAAACAGGAAGGAATCCTCCTCGACTGGGATTCCGAAGAACCTTGCAAGGCCAAAGCCCGACATGTGATGAAAGGGTTTAGCGAAGAAGGCTCCGAGGACATCGAGGCAACGACACCTCAGGTTACCAGAGAAGGAACTCTCATGGTCGCCCAACTGGTGGCCAGTCATCGCTGGAAACTCGGCTTCTTGGACTTCACCCAAGCTTTCCATAGTGGAGATGCGATTGAACGACTACTTTATGCAACTCCACCTCGCGAAGGCATCCCTGGAGTTGCACCGTGCCAACTCCTGAAACTTGAAAAGGTTTGCTACGGCCTCACTGATGGCCCATTGGTATGGTACAATCACCTCAAGAAGTTCCTGACCAGCCAACTACAATACCAGCAGTCACTGGCAGATCCGTGCATCTACTACAAACATCGGGCCAGTCCCCTTACTGGTAAGCCGGTCCTCAGCGGCATCATTGCGGTCGCTACGGATGACCTTCTACATGGAGGCGACGAAGAACACCAAAAGGCTATGGACCAGATCAAGGCAAAGTACAAGCTTGGAAAATTCCAATATGGATCTGGAAAATTTACTGGAAAAATGTTCGTCCAACAAGAGGACTCGAGCATCACCGTGAACCAGGAGAACTACATCCAGGAGAAGCTCTTCGAGATCAACCTGGAAAAACAACGAAAGAAAAAGAGATACACCTTCTGTGACGACAAGGAAATCACGCAGCTCCGCGCCAGTGTTGGAGCCCTAGCCTGGCTCGCCAAAGAAAGCAGGCCAGACCTGGCCGGAAGAGTGGCTCTGCTCCAACAGGTCTTTCCAAAGCCTCGTATCAAAGACATCATCGAGGCCAATTCCATCACTCAGGAGGCTAGAAAACATCCCTCGAGCGGCATCAAGATTATGCCGATTCCGCCAGAGAACCTGCGAATCGGAGTTGCGACCGACGCTTCATGGTCCAACGCTAGAAGCCAAGACCAACTGGAAGCTAGTTCACAGGACTACTGGGAAGAGAAACCATCACACTGGATTCGACATCATGTTACTCCCAGGAGGGTCCTATTCCACCCAGGAGCCGATCCAGGACCAGATCTTCATGACCTACAACCAGGTCGCAGAACGATGACAGCGAATGAAGAAGTTCTAGAAGATGAATGGACAAAAGGAAATAGTGTCCGAACTTGGTCGGACTCCCCTTGGACTGGAAAAACCATCTTCACCAAACAGCTTCCAGGACATGAGTTGGAACATGGAAAGATCAACGACACCTTCCTCAAGCTCCTCAACTGTAGCAGCCAAGGAGGCTATGTGATGATCTTTTATGACAAGAGAATGGAAACCGAAGATCGACCTCACATGGTTTCCGTGACTTCATGGAAGTCAACAAAACTCAAACGAAAGACAGTCAACACCCTGAGCGCAGAATGCCAATCGCTAGTCCATGGCATTGGCCATATCCACTGGCACCGCTACCTCCTGCTCGAACTGATGGGCACGACCATGGAATCCAAGGATTGGGAGCGGCATCTGGCAGCCATCCCCTATGTCTCAGTAGTTGACTCTCGGTCGCTATACGACTGCATCAACAAGCTGGTGTGCACCTACTCTCAAGTAGAGGACAAGAGAACGGCTATAGACATAGCCATACTAAAGGATGATCTCTATAGATCAGGGGGTTCTTTACGCTGGGTTGCTGGTGATAACATGATCGCGGACCCCCTTACGAAAAAGATGAACTCGGATTTCCTTAGATGTGTTTGCAATACCGGTTACTGGTCACTCTCCGAGACAGGCCATAGAACCCAGTGCACCACGCATGACGTTCTCTTGGTCTCGCTTGGCCGTTAGAGTAGGGCCGGTGTGAAAATGCACTGGACGCCCACGCTCGACTCAAGGCAAGCACTTAGGAGCCAAAGACTCGATGGGGGCTTTGTGTCCACCGGAAAAAGAGTCTTGTTCTTGCTTGTTGGGTCTGTTGCGGTTCCCCCAATTTCATAGAGTCTATTCTCCTTCTTCGAGCTGGTCGAACTGGGGGTCTCCCTGTTGCTGTCATCCACCGTCGTGCTCTCCGCCTTGAGGGACGCTTCGTTCTTGTCCTGACGACCCAGCCGTGGACCGAGACCGGGCCGGGGTAGAAGTGATGCCGCGAAGGGAGATAGTCCCTAGGGCTGGCCCACCTCCTGAGGAGATGGTTGGGGTGGGTGCCAGGGGGGGTCCAACCACTGCTGAGGATATGGTTGGAGCCCTAGGGAGTAAGAGTGGTGACCCTCCGTTGATTGAATCATGACCGATCAGGTATTAGAAAAAATAAACACGTCTCTATCGGATGGTTCACCACGGGTTTAGAGACCTTTCAGGCAATGGATTCTTATTTGTTTTAGGAATCTCTATACAGTGAAGAATCCGAGCATTTTCGGATTGTTCCTTCCCTTTCTCCACCGGTCTAGCCGCTTGCGGCTTCTATAAAGCTGAGAAATGGGTGTACTTTCAGACCAGACCTCCAAAAGACATCAAAAGACTCCCTCGAAAGAAATAGACCAACACCCATTTCTTGGGGGTAACACGATGTCAAGCGGACGGATGTCCCATCAGTCCCTTCCCGCCCTAGAAAAGTCCCTTCCAGTATGTGACGCTTGGGGTGAATGCCACCTAGCACTGTACGATGGATCAGGGTGCTTCAACGTGTTATGTGTTTTTTTCCTACGAATTGGCATGTATGGCCACGAAGGGTGGTGGACAAACAGCATATGCAGTGATGTTCAAGCATCTAATTGGGGAAGAGGTCCGGCAGATTATCAAGACCTCCCTGCGTGCGAATGAATTTGTAAACACGATCTTTGAGTGTACACCGTTGCTCAAATGTAATTTCGGATAGAGCCGGATATTTGAGGCAAATGATTCTTGATTTTACCCATTTCTTGGGGGTCTCCCTATTCAAATACACGTCCATTCTTGAGCTGGGTTACAACCTCTTGTTCGGCAGTTCGCCGCGCGCAACATCGCCCGATCTTGACTGGATTGGACACGCAATCCAGCCAGGTCCATTCCTGGATTCCGCTGATGGTAACGTGATGGCATCGGCGCCCTGCCCAGGCGGGGACGCCTTCAGGTAGTCGTGTATACGTCGCTGAGCTTGAAGGATCAGCTTATTCATCTCCTGGCGCAGTAGCTCGAGAAACCGAACGGCCCGTGCTATTCCTGCCTGCAAGAGGTGCTCCACCAAGCTGACTTTATCAAACTTCCATATATTGATTTCTATATTACACATTCACATGACTACCCAATCTAACATAGCTCCACACATATTTACAATTACTCAATATTATTTACATATATTTACCAAACAAGCTAACAAAATGCCAGTCACCACGCGCAAAATATCCAAGCGTTACCCCACATGGATCACCCAAGGAAACAAACGTGCGACGGTCCCAAGAAGGCCCCCAAGCAGGTCGGGAAGACGCTGTACTTCTTGCTCTCTTGCACCTCCCCATGCCAGCCTAGGTGGTTTCCAAACGGCAACCTAATAGTTTAGGTGTCTTGAGTCTTGAAGTTGAGTTGAACCAGTTCGTCAATCCTCAGGATGAAACTCTTCCTGCTTATCCCTGAAAAGCCCAGGTACTTCTGAAACACCAAACAACTTTCTCAGCTTGTCCTTTTTTTGCAGGCGTATTCAGCCCAATTTGAGTAGCGGCAACATGCCATCCACAAAATTGGCTGCGAGCCCAAGCCCACATAGACAATGTATATCTCTACCTCTGGGAACTGCCACCCTACCTCCATGAACTGAGTCTCAACTGCCACCATCTCTGCTTCAATTGATGAACATCTTACCATCCCATTCTGCGCCGTCCGAGACAGCTCTTGCTTGCTAAGGTCTGGGCCTTCCACAGCTTGCGCTAAGAGGCTCATTGAAACATTGTTGGTCATCCGGTCGACGACCTCACTGTCTTGCTTGGGTAGAAGATGATCCAAAGTGCAAAAACACGTCGGGTGTTTTCTGCTGAAGGTGCGGTGTTTATTGTGGGACACGGGACAGTAGACTCACAAACACCCTGAGTCTGAGTCCTCATTTCTTCCGTCCCACTTCTTTCCTCCCAAATCCACAAAAACAACACCGGCTCACAGTCGCAAAACCTCGTATCCATCTATGCAGCTTCTTTCGCAAAAACTGCCATCTTTCTCTCGTTCTCCACATTTGGTTCCTGGAATTCCCGTGGTGCCGTATCCTTCAAACCAAATGGTGCGCACTCCTTGTCCCCCCCAAACAAGAAGGCTCTTCTCTCCGATCTTCCGACTCCCAGCGCCGAAGAAAAGCTCGTCTCTCCGGACCAAGCGAGGCGAGGTGAGAGAATCTAACGTCTCCTTCGTTGGGGCCAACTCAGGCCATTGGTTGGAGCCGGGGCCCGCCGGGGCCCTAGCCCTTTTGGTCGTCTCCTTCTGAGCACCTTGAATCGACGCCAAGCGCGAGTTCATCGCATCCACCTCCAGCGGGCGCTGGTCGGCGCAAGGTGGTGCCGTCCGCTTGGGCGAGCTTCGAGGTCGCGCCGCCCAAACGGGAGCTGTCTGGGAGGGCAGAGCTGCAGAGCTGCTGCAGTTCTGGGGAATGAAGAACATGCCAGCAGTCACAAGACGGGGTGCCGAACTTGGATGATAGGGGTGCCCATTATCCACTCACTGGATGGGACTGAAAACCACCCCGTCTTGTGACTCCTG